TAAGTAGCGAAACGTTGTAGAAGGTCAATACATGGTAAGCAAAACTAACAACAAGTGAACAACTACTGCTACTGCTACTGCTACTGCTGCTGCTGCTACTGCTACTGCTACTGCTACTGCTACTACTACCTACTACCTGCTACCTGCTACCTGCTACCTGCTACCCCCTACTGCCTACTGCCTACTACCTGCTACCTGCTAGCTGCTACCTACTACCTGCTACTGCTACTACTACTGCTACTACTACTACTACTACTACCAAACTACTACTACCATCATACTACTACTACTACTACTACTACTACTACTACCACCACCACCACCACCACCACCACCACCACCACCACGACGACGACGACGACGACGACGACTACTACTATTACGACTACTACTACGATAATAATAGTAATCTGAACAGGGTCGTTGCTATTAAGGGTTTCTTTCAGGGGTTCTTAATATGGGGGCCTGAACTATTAGGCTAGGGTTTTGGGGTGTATAGGTTTTGAGGTATATTATATTATGGAACCTTCAGGAATAATTAGCAACAGTGTTTGAAAGGGTTCGTTTTCATGATTATAGTATCGTATAATATACCCCGTAACTAACTTGATTCCAATTCTGAGGGCCCCTCTACTGCGTCCACAGTCTAGCGTTCGGTGTGAGCCCGAGGGCACCAAGATTGCCAGCATTCAGCCGCTCAAGTTGCCCAAGTTGCCCGAGGCGGGTTTAGAGTTTCGCTTTTCAGATACCGGGGTGAGACGGTTTGCATTGTTGGTTTGTGTGCTGCATGGTTGGCTTTGTCGCGCTGTGCTGTCCTTCGTCGTTTGGCGTTGTAGCATCACGCTGGCCATCGCCACAGCTGAGTTTATCTTTCGGAAATTGTTCTGTGGTTTTGTTTTAAGTTCTTCCCCAAAAGTGCTGATCTGAAGGCACCTGCCTCCAAGCCCGGCCCGAACGTGATCGAAAACGAGCCTTGGCAGCACAGCGGTTTCAACTCCATGGTTTAGGCTTTATAGGGCTTAGGGTTTAGATGATCTCGCAGGCGGGTGAGCTCCCATTTAGGGTCGACTGGAGCGTTGTAACCGCAGGAGAATTCGGAACCCTAAACCCTAAACCCTAAACCCACAGTCTTTCGAACGATGCAGGCCATTGGGAACTTGCTCGAAACTCAGGGCCTAGGGTCGAGCCTGCAGAGAGAGTATGACCTTGCGCTGCGAAGCTCTAAGCCCTAAGCGCTAGACGAAAACCTTAGGTCCTGAACCCCAAAACCCTAAACCTTAAACCCCAAACCCTAAACCCTAAACCCCTAAACCCCTAATTCCCCAAACCCTGAACCCCAAAACCCCAAGCCCTGAACCCCAAAACCCTAAACCCTAAACCCCAAAATCCTAAACCCTGAACCCCAAAAACCTCAAACCCGAAACCGCAAACCCGAAGTTCCCAAATCCGAAGCCCTAAGCCCGACCCCTAGACACTAAGTCCTATCCCCTACGCCCGAAATTCCCAAATCCTAAACCTAGGGTTTAGGGTTTAGGGAAATTCCCAAATCCTAAACCTAGGGTTTAGGGTTTAGGGAAATTCCCAAATCCTAAACCCAGGGTTTAGGGTT